CGTCAACACTTCAGCCAAAAAGTTGTACCAGCACTTTATGAAAAAGCTAAAAATGATCGTCAACAAGCCCGACCCCAGAATTAAAGACCTGTCCTGATGATGATGAGCGAGAGATTCAATCACCTCATAAAAGAAATGATGACCGTGCAAGAAGAGGTAATCAAAAAAGTCCATGCTCATTAATCGAGGTATACGATCCAAGAATTTACGTTTAATTTATGTTTAATCCTTAATAAACATTTCAGCAAATAAATGTCCAGATGACCTGACTGAAAATTATTGAAGAAGAAGTAATGTTACTGTATTATTGTAATCTAATTAATCTTGGAATTTTTTTCCTCCCTGGCGCTGATCGAGGTGGCTGCTTCTGTCTTTCCTCCCCCGTTTTTCCTTCCTCCTACTCTGCTCTCTGTGTGTCTTAAGTGCCTGGTTCACATCTCCCGAATGTAACGTTCGGACGTTCAACTCTATTGATAAGATTTTTTTCATCAAAGCGACAAGGTCCCGGAGAGCCTGCGTGTCCGGCTGAGACGCACGTTGTAGGGTAAGTCATGGATCCGTGGGGAGTGTGGCAGCTGATGTGCCTCTCAGTCCTGTCTCAGGAGGACGTTGAAGACGTTTACATATTTGGAATTATGAAAACAAGGACTCTGCTTTTTGGCATCGGCAGGGCTCTATTTTATTAACTTTTGAAGAAGACATCGGCAGCAGTTTTGGCCATGGAAAAGCTTCCGAGTCAGTGTGAAGATTTGGTCTGTGCAGTAGGAACTTTAAATCATCTGGTTTACGAGCTAAACCGTAAGGTGGAGGCAATTTATGAGAATCGCAGGCCACCTGCGGCTTCTGGGACTTGTCAGCGTGGTGGGAGCGACCTTGAAGGAGACTCATAGCATGGATCAGTGGAATGGAATCCCACAATTAGGCTATTTTAGAACCAGAACGTCCAGATGGACTCAAGGCTGAAGAGAAAAAAAAAAGGAATCTGTCTGCTTGAAGAAAAGCAAAGCAGTTTTTTTCCTCGCCTGACACAAGATGGAGCCTTGCAGCTTTGTTGAATCAGGCACTGTCATTTTCACACCTTATCAGGAATTTAAAGTGCTCTCCCACTTTGAGTCAACAAACAGCTATCTGCATATCTAAACATCTTCATCTAAAGCCAGTAGCCATGAAGGAGCGGGTTTGTCAGTGAGGGAGGGAGGAGGAGGGGTAGTGTGAATGACTGCAGAGTCAGACTAGGAGAAAAACTGCTGGATTCGTCTTTATGCAGAGTATAAGAATATATATTTTTACATTGATATCTCATTTTATATCGCGTTTTAAATCATCTCAATATTTTTAAAATATCGATATCTAACCCAGCCCTAAACTGAACCAAACCAAAATGTGATTTTAGCGTACCGTTACACCCCTATCCATTACTATGGGGGAGTGGTGGTGCAGAGGTTAGAAGATGGGCCTGTGATCGGAAAGTCGCAGGTTCAACTCCCGGTACTGTCAACATCAAAATGTGGGTGGAAAAGGTGGAACACCCACAACTCCCTCCACCTTCATTCGCCCCACTCTGGGCCCCTGAGCAAGGCACTTAACCCCCACCATCTGCTCTCTAAACAGGTCTCTCTTGAAAATGAGTTCTCGTGGCTCAATGAGACTACCTGGATAAATAAAGGGTGCATAAATGAAAAACTATACTGTTTACCAATGTTCCATCTAAGCTGCGGTTGCACAATCACACAATGATTGCAAGTTCTCTGTGCACAAGAAGAGCGCAGCACCACCTTTCTAAAGTTCAGAGTAGAGGAGAACACCCCCCCCCCCCACCGCCCCAGTCAAATAGACCTGTCACGTGATTTGTCTTACGAAAACTGAAGTTTACGAAGAGGTAAAAAATTCAACCAATGTAATCACAGGCGAACTTTCATTCCAGCCAATCAGTGTCTTCTGAAGTTTTGGCGCTACGTGCGAAGGAGCTAAGTAGCTACAAACAACCTTGTCTTCTAGTGCTTTTCCAAACTTTATACTACATATTTCATCACATACCAAGGAATAATATTCGACGTTGTGGATTTATCACAGAAGTTTACGGTTGTACGACGTCAAACAAGGGCGGTAAGTAAGCTAATTCCACGACTTGTAGCCATTTTTATCATGCTAAGGTTTAGCAAACAGTAGTGTTCGGTGGTCATCTGGATGGTCAAAGGACAAATTTACAAGACAGTGGTGAGACCAGATATACTGTATGGTCTGGAGACAGTGGCATTGACAAATAAAGACCAGCGAAAGAACTGGAAGAAGCAGAAATGAAGATGTTGGGGTTCTCCTTAGGAGTGACAAAGATGTTTAAGAGCTGATAGAGATCTGTATTCTACCGGCTAACAGCAGTAGTGCTGTGGCTGATGTAAAATCAGTTGTCAGATTTAACCATTACTTTTTTTTTGTTTAATACTGTGCATAAATGGTTAAAAGTCTGTTTTAACAGTGTGGGATCCTCTGCACTCTTGTGCATGAAGGACAGCCTTTTTAAGTTCAAAGTTTTTGTCTATCCATTGTGCCGTAAGGTTAATCATGCTAACAGGGCTAACACTTGATATCCAAATGTCTGTGGTAAAACTCACCCAAGCGGATTTTTCGCTACTTTTCATTTTGACTGTCCTTTTGGTTGCCATTTTATTTAAACTCGTTAAAAACATTTTTTTTTTAATGTACGCCTCTTTTATGATTTCCTATTGTTGTCATTGTTATCCACTGTTGTCATTACTCTTTGTTAAAAATCCAGGTCTTTCTTGCAAATGAGTCCCCGAGGCTCAGTGGGATGAACCTGTATAAATAAAGGTTGAATGAAAAAAAAAAGTTCTATCGGCTATTAGCTTCTCAATGACGTTGGAAATGACGGCTTGTAACACGGGTAAGTCTACGTTGGAAAAATATCTTTGACTTCTACCTCTCCGCCGTGATCAGATCATGTAGACACGCGTGATGTTATCACGTTGTCCTGGCGCTGCAGGCATCCTTGTCAATGAGTTGTCATACAAAAACAACATCTTTTATATTGGTGAGTTATTTTGATGGAATGGCCGATGTCTGATATTGAACTTTAACGCCAATATCGGCCGATACCGATACCATGCTGATAATATTGTGCATCCCTATTCATAACGCAATTTTTGACTGACGCTTTAAATGTCTAAGAACTGCAACTGCGAGTCCTCCCATGCACGCTCGCTTCACTCAGCTGGTGCAGGCAGAAGAACGCTGGAGAGCTAGCAGCTCCGGCCGTGATAGATGGATAGATGGCACAGCGCCGCGCCACCCAGGCGAAATTAAGCTATTGTGACCATTAAATAAACGCATAATAAATGCGACGGGTCAGCGGTGATGCATAATAAATGCGACTTATACGCGGAAGCAACTTATATATTTTTTTCCACTTCGTGACGCTTTTTTTTGACTGATGCGACTTATACTCCACAGCGACTTATACACTGGAAAATACAGTACCCGTCTGCTGCCCTGAAAAGCCTTTGTCTCAGGAGTTTTAAAATCTTACCCAGTCTTTTAACCTTGTGCAAAATGTTGTTGGTCCAACTCATCAGCAGGGACATACACATGATTTGGTTTTGTCATATGGTTTATGCGTGATTAATCTAGAAACTGGGGATGCTGTTGTTTCTGATCATAAACCCATTTCATTTGAAACCTCTTTTGTTCGTGAGTCTAAGGTTGTTTTCACACCTGATAGTCCGGTAGACTCGGTTCGGTTGGGGACCAATATTCATAACATTTTGCTTACATTTGAGCTGGTGCATTTGCATTCACACTGCACTGTGCAGTCGAGCCAACCTGTTGAACCAACCTATTCCCCCACTCACCTGTGGTGGCGCTGCACCTAGAACTACTGAAAGAAATGACACAAAAACCTCTGAAGACACTTCTTCTTCTTCTGTAAATAAAAACCAAAATGGAGTGGCATCAAGTTTTAGCAGTTTTAGGAGTGTGTTAGCAGTTTGTTGTGTGTTTCTTTGATTGAAGAAGCCTTCGCTTCGCCCAAAGGCGAAACGTTTCAGCACAAAAAAAAAAGAAACTGTCCAGATGACCTGACTGAAAAATGTTGGATTGTATACCTGGATTATTGAACATGGACTTTGTTGTTTTCAACCAGTTTGACAAGACTGTCAACAAGGAAGAGGGCCGGCAATGGAGGAGGGGGCATACCAAAGAGACCAGCTTATCACAAGCAGAACTGGTTTGTTCCACTTTGGAGGAAGCTGTTGGGGGAAGAATCAGTTATGGTGTGTGTTTCCTTGACTGATGAAGCCTTTCCGGACCGAAGGCGAAACGTTTCAACACAAAAAAAAAAAAAAAAGAAACTGTCCAGATGACCTGACTGAAAAATGTTGGATTTTAGGAGTTATATATTGTCATTTTTCAAAAATGGACTCAGCATGAGCGGAAGAAGAGACAGAAGACCATGGAGAATATTGTTTTTTACACAAGGCAGCTGACGGCTTCATATAAGGTAAGAGAAATGTGTGTTTGTTTGCCCTGCGTTGTACTCCACTTCTTGCTTGTGGAGTGGGGCTCAGTCTGTTTACATTCACACTGTACTCGAACCGCGCTGGAGTTCTCTTCTACCGGACCGAGAACTAGGTTTTAGCCCGGGCCAGAGTTCGCCTTTTTGTTCCGTGACAGAGTTCGATGGCGCGTTCACACCAAAACGAACAGGACTTCCTAGGAAAATGAGTTAGAGTTCGATTAAAGCGGACTAAACAGGGCTGGTGTGAATGCACCCTTAAGGGTGAAAATTAAAAGCGTTTATATCGACTTATAACGGGACCATTACCACCAATACTGATGGGTCCCCAAAGGACTAAAATATGGACCCTACCGATATATCGGCAGGCCTCTATACACAGAGACACGCACGCACGCACGCACGCACGCACGCACGCACGCACGCACGCACACACACACACACACACATACAAATATGCAGCAAACTGTACCTGGATCATGTGTCTGTGCAGGTTTGTACAGTCCATCAGGCAGAGTTCCTCTGGGAGAGACATTAGTAGGTCCAGGACTATGGCACTCTCTGAGGGGCAAAAACATTGAAAAGAACAGGAAGTCAGTTAAAAGAAAAATAAAACCAGAAAATTAAAGTTGTTTCTGACCTGAGACACATAAAAAAGTTTTATTTAAGTTTGAAAGGAAAAACAAAAAAATTGTTTTCACTATTCTGTTTTTCGGTTAATTTAAAACAAAATGTTAAGAGATGATTTAAAAAACTGTGTGAGTAAATATTAAACAGATAAGTGGGAGACAAAATGGCGTCAGACATGAGCAGCGTTTTGGATGAGTGCCCGTTGGCCCTGCTGAAAATCTGCTTTTTATAATTATACCATCCCTGCCTTTGTGCTGGATTTTGTTTCTAAACTGTAAACTGGTGTCGCCACATAATTGAATCAACAAGCTGGTAATATAACTTCAAAGTAGAAAAAGTTGAAAGCTTCGACCTCATCTCCCTCACAGCCTTTTATCAACGTTACAGCCTCGGGCCGCCGAGATGGAGAGACAGCTGAAACAGGTGCATCGGCCCCCCGTTCACTGAGCTCTGGAGGGAAGGACGAGTCGGCTCTGAGGTCAGACCTCCTGGCCTCAATTAGACCCGAAGATGTAGCGATGATTTAGATGGAACTAAGAGCGGCTCTGACAGAGGATTTAAATTTTATCAAGAGTGAATTACAGGCGGTCTGAGCCAAGCTCGTTAACACCATCAGGCTTCAGAACGAAGCTCGACCGAGTTAAATTTGCTGCTACAGAGACTGAAAAAGGTCCGTCTTTATACTCAGATGAGCTGAAAAGGCTACGTGGGACGGTGGTTGAGTTAAAGACTGAGTTCAATGGGCCTAAAAACTGTTTGAATCCGTGGAGGGACATATCAGACGTAATAATACTGGAATTATTGGTCCTCTTGAATCAGCGGGTGAAAGCACCAGGATGTTAGCTAAAACACTAATGGCAGCCCTAAAATTGGATCAACTGTCACTGATTGATTACATGTACCAGACACCGGGCAGGAGAGGCTCGGATGGAGGATCCAGAGATGTCGTGGCCAGGCTCCACTACCATCAGGAACGTGTGGAAATAATACAGCAGGTGCACAACGGTGGCCAGCTCCACTTCAAAGAGTCAAACATATTCGTTGTAGCTGACTACACCCCGGGAGAGGCAAGAGCATGAGCGGCCTTCACGGAGGCGAAGCGGCTTCTGCGAACAGACTGGGGGTTCGATACTGTATTCTCTTTCCGGCGTGACTCCGCGTTGCTCATATAGGGATGGACAGAGTGTTTGTCAACCCCAAATAACAAACAAACAATGGAATACATCAAGGGAAATATCATTCCAACAGCAGGTGGCGAGAATGGAAATAGATCAAAATAAACCACAGGACCGGCTTCTTTCAATCAACAACTTTTATTAAACCTGTTTTGGATTCAAATAATTGGCTGTGGTCATCTGGTAGTGGCATTTCTAGAATTGCGCCACTTGGGGTGGCTGTATGTTGGAGCAGCTCTGTTACATTCATTCTGAGATTTTACTTTTGCAAACTTTTGCCCCTCCCTAGGCTGCCACCTTACCATGGTGGAGGGGTTTGAGTGTCCCAATGATCCTAGGAGATATGCTGTCAGGGGCTTTATGCCCCTAGTAGGGTCACCCATGGCAGACAGGTCCTAGGTAAGGGACCAGACAAAGTGCAGCCCAAAGACCCCAATGAAGAGAAAAATAAATGGACTTAATGTTCCCTTGCCCGGACATGAGTCACCGGGGCCCCACTCTGAAGCCAGGCCTGGAGGTGGGGCACGCGGGCAGGCGCCTGGTGGCCGGGCGCCTGGTGGCCGGGCGCCTGGTGGCCGGG